TATAATGATTGTTATAACAAGTCAAGTACATCACTTGATTTTTTTTAGCAAGGGAATAATAATGTACAATGTACAACAATGTAAATGTACAATTGCTTTGTTTTCACTTGTGACTGTTTGCTATAAGGTTTATGTATTTTTGTGCCTACTGCAAGGTGAGTTTCAGGCTCAAAAACTATATAGGCTAGTTATGTTTTGGAAAAGATGTGCTTAAAATACACACATCATTTGCACGTCAAATAATGAACAAAAACAACAAAGACTGGTAAAACACATCTTGTAATGTTGGATATTTTAGAATCCTGCGGATTTTAATGAGGAAGAATGTCTGCGAAAGAAAGTGTCTGAAATCTGCCCGTTTCTTCTGATTTTGTAGTAATAACGATGAAGTCATATACACACCGGTTTCTCTGAAACCCCATGCTGCTTCCATTAGACCCAAACAAAAGGAACATCAGTTATGCCAAGCAAGCACAATGTATAGCTTCTGACTGCAGAACTTTAATGAGATTAATTCCTCTTGAATGGGATAAACTTCACAAAATGTCAGTGTCGAATGGTGTGATTGAAGTTAACAAGCTCATTAGTGAACTTCCAGAACAATGTTCAGAGCTGATGCTCAGCTGGGAGTCAAGGGGCTGAGAACAAAAAATGAATAAATAAGAAAGAACAAAACAGCAAATGCTTGTGGATCATTTTAGGGACTGCTGAATTCTTACATTTTATTTCATGAGTATTACTTTCCAGTTTTCTTATAACACTGAGCCCTTCACTCATTTTCTCTTTTTTATATTGAGACATAAATCTTAGAAAACAGCTGTGCAGGGACAAATACAGGATGGTATTAACAGTAAATAAACTAAAGTTTTATCACAATAAAATACATGTTTTCCAGTATAACACAGGAGTTTATGCAAGTGGTTTTAGTTGTAAGACAAACACCAATCAACTAATAGTGTGGCATTAAAAAGCTTTTGCTACAAAGACTACTGTTAGATCAAACTGTGGATAGATTTTTAATAAAAACATATAAATTGTTGGGTTGCAGTCACATGACCTGGATGATATTCAGATGTGGGGCAGGAAGTGAGTTGCTCCGGTTCAAAACACAGCAAAATGGATCACAGCGAGTGCGCTAATGCGTGGGCTGTTGCAGAGACGAGATGTCGCAAAAATATATGGACATACATTTAGGATATGATCCATATTGTTTTATTAAAAATTCTTGTCATATAATCTGTACGATTTTCTCTTGCGCTGAGGCGATCGACATAAACTGTCTGGTGCTGCAGACCTCGTGTTATACAAAGAGCCAGGTGAAAGCTTTCAAAAACCCTGAAGCCTGCAATTATTTTGTTTCATGTTGGGTCAGTTTGGGATCCAAAGAAGCTTTAAATGTTTGTCGACTTGTGTCTGCCCGGGTGAGTAGTGAGAGTTAATGGTATCGCTAACATTAACAATGACTCAAACCTTTTCTGGAGACAATCAAGCAAGGACGTAAAAATAATATACAGTATCTTCTTCTATCTTTTTTTAAGCTAACTCCCTTGTGACATACTACTTCAGAACACACACACACACACACACACACATATATATATATATATATATAAATTAGGGGTGCAACAATACATGTACCCCTATGGAACCGTTCAATGCTTAGGTTCAATACACACTTGTATCGAACAATACAGATTTTTTTAAAATTTATTTTATGAACTTGTCTTCTGAAGATGCTCTGTGTTGAAGGATCAGAGGATCTGTGTTCAACTGCTCTATCCAGGCTGTATTTTCTGAGTGCAGATCCACTGAGAAACTTGCTGTTTCAGCTAAATTTAAGTTTAAATTTAATTTAAAAACAGTACTTTTGAGGTTAAACAAATGTTCATAAATAATTTCAATAAATTACAAGTTAAAAAGGGCATGGGAATTACTGTATCGAAAAA